ACAGCTTTTAAATCTTGAAGATGTTTCCATTTGTGAAATCCATCCAAGAAGTAATCAAACTTGAGTTTATAGAAAATAACACCTTCGGGTATATAATTTAATAGCTCTAATATCAGTCATTTGTGTTTCCTGGTCGTATGATGGCATACATCTGGTTTTTCTTTTTAGAATAAACTTTAAACCGATTGTAAGTTACTTATTCGGCCTCATATGGATAGGAATTTTGTCTAGCTTCACGAGTAATAGAAAGATATGTGAAAGGCAGATATATATTACGTCCTTTAATTTTAGTTTCAATTCCACTGTGAATGGAGTCACACTCCATTTGAGTATATCCATGTTGTAAGTATTTTTGTTCAATTATTTCATTTCTACCTATAGAGCAAAAAAGCAGTACTTTATCCATGATACTGTTACGGTCTTGATATGTATATCCATTACTGTACACTGTAAGTGGCAAGTTGCTATCCGTAAGCCGTGTAATATAGTCCACAACCAAACAGGCAAACGAAGAAGCGGATAAATCAGTTTCTATTTCGCTAAACCAATAACACATAACATATTTTGTATTTATATTCATTATTGTATTTGTTGTATAATATACAGCACTTGCGTTAAGCCTGGGACATACCTTAACAGCTTGTAAATCCATCATTAAAACGATACTTGATTCATACTGAGCTAGCATGGTGTCATTCAGTTTTTATTGCCTTGCTCTTTCATTCTTGGTAACATAATTGACAAAAGATTCCTCATCCAGGTTTCCTACTTCATGTTGACAACAACCGTCACATTTATCTTTTTATGGACAGGCATATAGAAATTCCTTTTTTATGGAAGAACTCGTCAAATATTCTTTTACTTATAGCATGATTGTTTTTATTTTTGCACTGGAACAGATACTTGCTATATAAAGCAGCAATAGATCGAACAGTCTGGACTAAATATGATTTGCTTGAGCTTTTACGGCAGTAGTAGGATAGCAGTTTTGGTAGCTCATCTATAAACATATTTAAAAACTGCTTGTCACCATTCATTTTGTCTCGTTCTTGTTTCTCCTAACATTTTTGACTTGCGAATATTCTGTTTAGCTTTCTTAACCCATGACTTTACTTGAATTTAGCCAAGCATAATATAGATAGAAATAATTTTTTACATACATTTGCCTTTTGACCATCAATTGGTAAAGTATAAAATATTGAACATTATCTGGATGATATTTCATTTTTTGTATACTTTCTTTTGACAGATTTGCGTGTAATATTATTAGCTACAAAAATTTTCCGTTGTTCCTATATCATTTTCCAAAATTTGTTAAATATTTCTTTTCCCGTATCTTCTAAAATGTTGGCACAGGCACGTAATTTACTTTTCATATACTGATTTAAATTACGGCGTGGTCCCATTTGTTCTTCAGGTTTATGAGCAATTTGTTTGTATACTTTTGTTTCAGGGTATTTTTAAAAACCAAGCTACACTTTTCCGCGTTCTTGTAGTTTTTGTTTGCTTCTCTTTTTCAATATTGTCTCTCCGGTTTCCTCTTCCTTATTTTACCCATTTGTATGCCTTCAATATCACTGTGTTGGTGTGTATCCATGTCCAGGATATTCTAGTTTGCGCTGTTTCACTGTGGATATAATTTCACATGTTTTATCCATCCGACGTAGAACTTCAATGTTTGTTATTTGGTCCACCCAGGAGATCCTCAGTATTCGTCTATAACACCACATGTCAAACGCCTCGAATTTTCCCATGGATGACTCGGTTAGTGTCCATGACTCAACTCCATAGAGCAGCACTGTAAACACGTAGCCTCTCAATAAACGGATTTTCGTTTTTAAGGGGGGGTTCCGTGGCTCTTAAATATCTTGCTTATTCGGACAAACGCTGACATGGCTTTTTCAATTCTTTGTTTTATCTCAACTGAATGGTCCCATTGGTCGTTTATGGTAGTTTCTAAATAGTAGTAACGGGACACTTGGAGTATTTGTTGCCAGTAATTGACTAGGTGGAATATGCTTCTTATTGATGACTATGTACTTTGTTTACTTGATGTTAAAATCAAGCCCGTATTCTTTACTTATTCTTCAAAATTGCGTTACTAGTGTCTATAAACCTTTTAAACTGCAAAGAGGATGGTGTCGTCTGCATAACTGATGTTATTCAGGTGCTCACCATTTATGAGAATACCCTCTTCGATATGCTTTAAGGCCTGGCTCATGACGTGTTCAAAATATACGTTAAATAATATGGGAGAGAGTATGCAGTCCTGTTGTACTTCTCTCTTTATTGCAACTTCTTCTGTTAGTTGGTCTTTCACCCGAATGGTTGCTGATTAATTGTATTATAGGTTCTTGATTACTCGAAGGTCTTTTTTATCCAGATTAGTTGTCTTTATTATATCCATGAGCTAGATTTTGACTAGCTCTCTGGGATTTTTCCCGAGTCATAGATGTTATTGAACGTTGTCGTAAGCCATTTACTCCTTCGTCTTCCATGATTTTTAGAAATGCTGAATAAAAGTTGTCGGGCCGTGGTGCTTTACCTGATTTGGTTGCTTTAATTGCGGCTTTGACTTCGTCGTGAGTGATTAGTGATCCTGTGTCGTATTCCATAATTATCTGTTGTCATCGAATGTCTTCTCAACGTATCGCTTCCATATATTCTTTGTTTGTTTAATGTATATCACCAGGTAGCTATGATCATGAGTCGTATGTCCTGATCTCTTGAGTTTGTACATTACTGCTGCCTCTTTTACGTTTTTGTGTAGATTAAACGAGTCGTGTCTACTTTCCAATGATTCTATTTCTCTGCATTGATCTTTTAACCATTTGTTTTTGGTTTCTCTAATAGTTTTTCTTATTTCTTGGTCAATTCATTTATACTCCCACATGTCTCTGTTTTTAGCTCTTCTTCTATTCTTCATCGTATTTTGGATTTTATCAGTCATCCACTCTTTCTTTTTAACCGTTGTTGGGCAAAGATATTTATCTAGGATTGTCTGGTTAATTTGTTGTAGTTTTGCCTTTTCGTTATCTGGTTCATTAGCTTTGTCTGTATTTTTTAATTCTTTTTCTATATAGGTTTGTACCTGGTGCCCAGTGTCTTCATTTTTAATGGTCCTAAATCGTACTTTCTTGCTTTGGCACTCTTTATCTTCTTCAGCTTTAGTCTGATGTTAACTCCAGTGGGTTATAGTCCGACCCGATATCAGCACCAGGATATGTTTTGGCTGACATTATTGAGTTTCTGAATCTTTTATTCACCATGTAATCAATTTGGTTTCTGATGATGTGATCTGGGGTGTCTTGAGGTGATCTCTACGTATATAATCTCCTAGCTGGTAGTTTAAAGAAAGTGTTGGTGATTACCAGTTATTCTTCCGCAGCGAAGGTGATAAGGCGATCTCCGCGCTTGTTCTCATGTAAGCATTTAAGTCTCATATAAGCATTTTTATTTCGTTTTTGTGAAGTTTTTTCAGAACACTCATTAGTTCCGAATAGAAAGTTTCGATCTCTTCGTCTGATTTGTCTGCAGTAGGTGCATATACCTGGATTATGTTGGTCTTAACAGGGAAGGTGGTAAACTGAATAAGGAGTATTCTCTTTGAGATTGGGACAAAGTTTGTGACGTATTTAGAGATGTTCTTATTCACTATGATACCAACTCCGTTAATATATAGGTCTTCGCTATTTCCGGAGTAATAAATCTGGTGGTCGTGTACTATCCAGATCCAGTCCAGCGCATTTCACTTACACTCAATATATATATAGCAAGTCTATTTATTTCCTTAATGGCATTATGTGTCTTGCCCTCCTGGTACATTACTCTCACATTTACGTAGCGATCGTAATTGTTGATCTATGGAGTTTTAAAGAACAAGGATTTCTCTGGTTAACGACCAGAGGAGCCCCGTTATCCTTGTTATATCTCCCCCTACCGGATCTTGGTATCCGAGAACAATTGTCAGTAAAGTGACGTATTAAATACTGATACTTGCCATGTTAAGGGACTAGGGATATTTAACGAGGTAGTTTCCCCTTGCTTTCCTCATCGCAGTCTAGGAGCCAACAAAACTGCTTCAGTCATGCCTCCTAGTGTCCAATGATGAGCTGGTTCAGGATCATTCATTCATCAAAACTCTGCTTCTTTTTCCAGAAAAGGGGAACTAGGCTATGCTTATCTAATGGCAGCAATACTCGCCATGTCACAATACTTTCCTTGGGTTATTGTAGCATTTTACAAGGTATGCTTTCCTAAAGTCACAGCTTTCCTATATTCACAGCTAACCTTATCTAAAGACCATCCACTATCCGACACCTGTGACCCCGCTGGTAGCCTCAGCTTAGCCTCAGCATGCTTGCTTATGGTGTTAGTTGATTATTGTCTGAAAAGTAAAAGATGCTTCGTTTATCAATACATAATATGTATAGTGACCAGCCCTGAATTTAAATTGGAAGTTGGAAATTATACGGTATCTTATATATCTCTAGATATTTTATGACGCTTTCCTTAAAAATGTTCTCGTAATTGTTGCCTAGAGTACTTAATAGTAAGAACTGGTAAGGGGTTTTTCTAGTTTAGACATCATGATTATGCAGCAGAAATTGGTGTCTAAAAGATATGTTCGAAAAATATGTCACAAGTTTCCAGTGATAAAAAACAAGACGCAAACACAAATTTGTCATATTGGCTTTAAAAATGTATGAAAATACCACTGCATCATTTAAAAAAATGAACATCTAGAAATATATAATGATTAATATCAAAACCTTTAAAATAGAAAAAACATTCAAAGTATAAAAAATGTACCTGTACTTGGAACCATGGATCCAATGGATCCTGCGGACCCATGCTACCTGTTTATATAATTAAAGTGTCTCAAACTGATAAGCGCAGTTTTTAGATTTTAACTGCTTTTTAAATGATTTGGGAAGTTTTTTATATTTAACATTTATTTCATTTAAAACTATTTCTTTGAATAAATTGACTTTTTTTAGATTCTATTCTGCGGAAATAGCAATAGGATTATTTTACCTTCATTCTCGCGGTATTATCTACCGAGATTTAAAACTCGACAATGTACTCTTGGATCAAGATGGCCATATCAAAATAGCTGATTTTGGAATGTGTAAAGAAGGTATCAACGGTGAAAAAACTACTAAAACTTTTTGCGGAACACCTGACTACATCGCACCTGAGGTAAATATTCTTATGCGTACATTCCAAGTAATCTGCTGGTTAGTTCGATAGTATTTTAACTGTAAACTGTATGTAACGATAGCCATATCCAATAGAATCACTATCTTCTGATTAAAAAGATATTATACCTATCCTGCGCCAGTGATTGTCACCATCATGTCTATCTTAAATTATCCACATGAAAACTATTTCAGTGTATAAATTTCATTTGTAATTGGGGGTTAAGTGGAGGTATTTAGGACAATAGGGATAGCCTAAATCTCTCACTCCAACTTTTTCTATCTATCTATTTATCTAATTAGCCTTCTTCGGTCCATCTTTGGACATAAGCCTCCCCAATTCTTTTCCATTCTTCTCTGTCTGTCGCTACAGTCATCCAGCTAAAGCCCACGTGCTTCTTTATATCATCTGCCCATCTTATTTGGGACCTTCCTCTGCTTCCTTTATATTCCCACGGTCTCCAACTTATAAGAATATTGCTCCATCGGATTTTTTGTCTTATATTGTGTCCGGCAAATCTCCATTTCAATTTTGCAACTTCTTGTCTAACATCCTTTACTTTTGTTTTCTCTCTTATCCCCTCGTTTCTCTTTTCATCCATTAGTCTTATGTGCAACATTTGTCTTTCCGTTGCTCTTTGGGTTTTTAAGATTTTGTCCATGTTTGCTTTTGTAAATATCTACGTTTGGGAACCATAAGTGAGAACAGACCACTATTGCCAGCAACTTGCGGTTGGAATATACCCATTTCCCATAAACGACGATTAATGGTCAGAAATCGTCGTCTATAGGGTCTACTTCGATTGGGATATTTTACTGCATAACTCCTTGCGGCTGTTGCACTATTTCCTTAACATTCACCTACGCTATTCCCCATAGTTTATTGAAATAATAATTTAATTTGATCCAACTTACTCAAAGTTAAATGCATATCTGCCATTTCCTGAAATGTGTAGGCCGTTGTAATATCAAAATTTTTAATATTAATCTTATTCACACAATACATGATAGCTTTAAATTATTGACTATTATTGTAATACAAGTTGTGTAATTGTACACAATTGTGTAGACAGAACTCACACTTCCAGTCCACTCATACACCTCTTCAAGTCTGCTCTACAAAAGCTTCAATGGTACAAACTCGTTTGAAATCCAGTGAGTAGAAATTCTCGGAAATAATTCTTATCGGTTCTTTATATATCCTTAATGACTCGTTAAGGAGCCATTAATAATGATTTTATAATTAGTGTTTTAAGGTTACTGATACTAAATTGAATATTAACTTTTACCAAACTTTATACAGTATCAATTATTAAAGATAGTATTATAACAAACAAAAAGTTTGTTATCTATAAAACAGTCTGTGTACACTCAAACTCCTTTTATAATCATGTGAGTAATAATGTTGTAATTAGTGCGATGTTAAATAATTTAATTTGTTTAATATTGTAACGCCACTGCATGGGTATGATCATAGATATTGTATTGTCTGCGTGATTAACTATTTGGTGGAGGGGCTCGCCACTCAATTTGAAATAAGCTGTACACCTTAGTAACATTGCAAAAACGTATCCTGGCAGTACACATATTTTTATATTATTTTTACTATTATTACAATAATTTTGTTTTAGATCATCCTATATCAACCATATGGCAAATCAGTCGATTGGTGGGCTTATGGTGTACTCTTGTATGAAATGCTAATTGGTCAACCACCGTTTGATGGAGAAGACGAAGAGGAATTATTCGCTGCAATTACAGATCATAATGTCAGTTATCCAAAAGGGTTATCAAAAGAAGCAAAGGATGTTTGTAAAGGAGTAAGTTCATTCTTTATTTATTTTAATAATGAATAATTAAGGACCCTACAAGAAAATAAGTGACAAAAAGTAAATTTTGAGTAAATGTCGTTCAAAGCTGAGCTTTCACTGTAATTTTCATGATTTTTAATGCTAGTTTTTCTTCTCAGGTTTAGTAACTGTAGGCATTATTATTATTGACATAGTTCAGTAACTGTTGAAGATTTAAATATTTAGCTCGCTTAATGAGAGGCTTTTTGTCAGTCGGTACTGGCAAGAGATCTGTCAGAAGGGCAGAGTTCTTGCCAGCTCGAATGGGTGTCATAGATAGCTCAGTTAACTCTTCTATAATACCTCCAGCTGTTTTATTGTGAAACAGGGTTAAAAGTTTGCCTGTTGAAAATATCACCATTGCATACTCTGTATTTCACTTACGTTCTCCTTAAAGTATGGCGTAATATGATATTTCTTGATATCCACGTGAGGCCTGATCTTCGTGTCATATAAAGAAATGTCTCTTCATTCTTATCCGCTGTTGGTGCGTATACTTGAATTAAGTTATCTTTTTGTATTTTTGTCTTCAGCTGAACCATTATCACTCTATTTCTGAGTATAGTATTACACTATAGTATTTCTCTCTCTCTCTTTCTCTCTCTCTCTCTCTCTCATTCTCTCTAAGTGTCCTGGCTGGTATAAGCTTTTTACATTCGATGATTTAATTCTTATTGGTCTACATTTGTGTATTATTAGACGTGGAATTTTATTATCTAAACGAAAATTTTGCTTGCTATCGACTTGGAAGACCTCTCACTTAACATGATCCTTCCCTGTCGGATCTTGGTTTCCGGATTCCATGATCAGTAACGGTTTGACTTTTCGCGAATTTGCCATGATGAATAACTGGTGATGTTCTGTTGGACCTTTAATGCAGTGGATTCCCCATGCCTTCTACATTCTTCTGATGTTGACCAATTTATTGATTCTTCCGCTTTTGGAGTTAATTTCTCAGTTCCAGGGCAAAACATTGTCCTTCTACCTACCAAATTATCCGCCCGGTGGTCGTTAAGAAGGGGATTACTTATACCACCAACATTGATGTTGTACACCTTCTACCACGTGGAGATGCAGATTCGCATTTTTCCTTCAATGAGATTAAGACCTTTCGGCATTTCCTGATTTCTCCAGAGCTTTAGAAGGCGTGGTTCACATACAACGTTTATACCTGCGTTAATTTTGATTTTTCATTTTTGCATTTAATTTATTTATAAATTATCATAACTTTAACGTTTATCAGTGGCTCTTAATGTATCTAAGTCTTAAGATGTAATTATAATATTAGTTTTTGTATATAGTCACGTATTATTAATATATTTGGTGTATTACACCATATAATCATCAATATTAATTTATCAGTATTATTAATTTATTTAGTATATTACAATATATAATTATCAATGAAAACAAATAGTCATAAATCGTATTCTCTTTATTTTAGTTCTTAACAAAATTCCCTAACAAAAGATTGGGTTGTGGTCCAAAAGGAGAGGAAGACGTACGCATTCATGCATTTTTTAGGCGAATCGATTGGGAGAAAATTGAAAATAGGGAAGTGCAACCTCCCTTCAAACCGAAAATAGTAAGTTATAAAAATTAATTTAATCAATTAATTTTTTTTTTTTTTTTTTTTTATTAACCCCACATTTATTACAATCTATCTGTACAATCTAAACCTAAATATTTAGGTAGATAATAGACAATAAGTAATAGGACTGACAATAATTTGGAATGACATGTAGGGAGGCATCCAGTGATGCACCCCTTTTTTTAAAAACTTAGCCTACAACACTGACTATTTCTGACATAGACTTGTACACATTAATTTAGAACCTATTGTTCACTTAACTCTAACGGAACTTTTCGTTTTAGCCTACGAACAGTACGCGGTTTATTCACTAAACTTTTTGCTAACACGTTTGGGTGCACTTTAAGTTTCTCTTTATGTTTTTTCACGCACTTTTTGATGTCATCTTTGACATATGATAGTCCGGCTTCCCGATGAATGGCTTCATTGGTTATGAACCATGGAACTCCTAGTATTGATCTCAATGTTTTGGACTGGAATCTTTGTATTATTTCAATGTTGGAATGTGCGGCGGTTCCCCATAATTCTATCCCATAAGTCCACACTGGTTTTAGGATGGATTTGTAGATTAATATTTTATTTTCGGTTGATAGTTTTGATTTTTTGCCCAACAGCCAATATATGGTTCTTAACTTATGACCCAGTTGTTTTCGCTTAGTAAATATATGCTTCCTCCAGTTTAATCTTCTGTCCAAGTACATACCTAGATATTTGACTTCATCCCCTTGTGGAATTCCTGTACCGTTTAAGTAAACAGCCGGACATGTTTCCCTACGCGTGGTAAATGTTAGGTGTAGCAATTTGTTTTCATTAATTTTGACTCTCCATTTTGTCATCCATTGTTGGATTTGATTTAGATTATTTTGTAAGATTTCTGAGGCTATTTTGGGATTTTTGTTCGACGATATTATTGCCGTATCATCCGCAAATGTAGCTGTAGTTATGTGTGTTTCTGTCGGTAGGTCAGCAGTAAATATAAGGTATAATATAGGTCCTAGTACACTTCCTTGGGGCACCCCAGCGAGAATTTGTTGTATGTTTGTGTATTCATTCTCATACTTTACCTGGAAGTTTCTGTTGGTGATATAGGACTTTAAGAGTATATAGTAATTTGTAGGTTAATTTTGTTTTAGTTTACATAATAAGCCTTTACGCCAGACTTTATCAAATGCCTGACTTACGTCCAGAAATACCGCCGAGCAGTACCTATTATTTTCAAAGTCCTCGTTGATTCTCTCTACAATTCTGTGTACCTGTTGTATCGTTGAATGCTGTTTTATAAACCCAAATTGGTGTGGTGGTATTAGTTTTTTGTTTTCTAGTATAGGCATTAGCTTAGTAAGTGTCAGCTTTTCAAAAACTTTGGATACCACTGGAAGAAGACTAATAGGACGGTAGGACTGTACACTTTCTGGTTCTTTTCCTGGTTTTAGTATCATTGTTATTTGTGCTTAGTCAATTAATTAATTATATAATTATAATAAATATTAATAATAATAATTAAGTTATAAAAAAAATTTATTTAAAAATATGTAAATAAATATATGATATTCTCTAACTTTTTTGATGTTGGAAACTTACATGGTATGCAAGTTGACCTTGTTGATTTCTGTTCTAAACGGCTTTTCTCTGCTACATCCAAATCATCCCTTAGGTTGCTAAACGAAATTATTAGTTTTAAATAATAGCAAGGAACATCCCAAAAATTTAATTTAATTATCCAGAATGATTATAAATTCAGATCGCCTTCGTCTTATCAAACAGTGAAAACTTAAAAGGAAGCATTTTCACGTTAAGATAATTAAATTAAGGAGGTAAAGTGTTGACATAAACTAACAAATATCTTAAATACTTACATCTTAGTGATAAATTAACGATTGCATAGCTTTCCACGATTGTTTTAGTCTCAGCATGGATTTCCACGATGACATCGGTCTTCTTAATCCTATTATCAGTCATAATAAGTGTTCAGTTTAACGGTATTCCGCAATGGCATTGGTCAAACTCTGTTTAATGGCTCTTTGTGATTGGTCATATTTGACCCAGATTGTCAGATTTAACCCATCTCAATGATATGGGTATCCTAGTATCCAGCTCACGATAAAGGTGAAAACTGGTTGATTCCTACAGTTTCTTGGAATTATCATACAGAAAAACCAATCCCAAGGTTTTTATCACTTTGTATATTGAAAATTGAAAATCCACCCATACCAATCGTTACTTGCATATTAACTCTTATCCATATTATCCACCTTCACAAATTAATTCAGTCAATAATACCCTTGTCTATGGATCAATAGGCCTTTGCGATGATGCCAGTAGACCGCTGAGCTATATAGTTTAAAACAAGACCTCATCCAAAACATTAACACCGAAAGTCACATCAATAGGAGCATCCACAAACATCAATCTTCCACTAAATCTCAAACCAAATACTCAGATCCTATCCATCTGAAAGCTTTACATCAAAGGTGTCACTAACAAAATCGACAAAATTCTTAAATCAAGAGGAATAAAGACAATATTTAAACCCCCAATAAAAACTTTTATCTCTTTTCCGATCAATTAAAGACAACAATCAAAATGAACAACACGGAGTTTATGAAAGCCAACAAAAAAGGATTTATAAATAGTCTATTTCTGTTCGCAATTCCGATTCAATTTCAGCTCTAGGTCAACATCATTTTCATACAGGTCACAAAATTGATTTTTAAAACTTTATAACCATGGCCTCGATCAGCTTTTATAAACCAATAATTATCCAAGAAGCCATAGAAATAGAAAAAAAGACCAAATTGTCTTAATAAAAGAAATGACGACATACATTTACCTTCAACATGTAGACCTCCCATAAAGAAAATATCATCCGCTCCACCCGCCGTTTAAAATCCTACTGTCGGAAATGTTCGCGTCAACCTCCGCGCCAATCCTCATGCAGACCCCCACGCCAACCCCCAAGTGAATTTCTACCCAACCACCAGCGGTATAAATGAACCGTCCTCTGTTTCCAGTAGCAGTAAAGCATTGGTTAGTGATCAGTGTAGTAGTATCTGGAGGCTTGGAGGTCTGAGACCTGGAAAGCCCTGAAGAAGACATTAAAGAGGTTGTACACATGGCGCTCACCCAGTGACATGCCAGAAAATCTTATAAGAAACCAGATTGACTATATTTTAATAAATAAAAGATTCAAAAACTAAATAACATCAGTGAAAACCTACCCTGGTGCAGATATTAAGTCAGACCATAAATTACTTTTTGCTAAGTTTCGCCAGAAATTAAAAAAAAAACCAACGTTCTCAAACAACTAAGAGATGATGATATAAAGCAAGAAGTGCGAGAACATCTGAAGAACAACATATCTAAGTCAGAAGTAGTTAATGATGTTGCCATAGAAATAAACCACTTGGAAAACATTGATAAGGAAATATTAGACCAATACCTGCGACTGAAAAAGACAGAAAAGAAAAAACCATGGATGACCGAGAATATATAACAGATGATGGACAAAAGAAGAGCATCCAAGCGGAAAGACTAAGTTGCATATCAATTTCTAGACAAAGAGATAAAAACGCTTTCAGAGAAGCTGAAAATAGAAATCTGGAAGGAGAGTGTGAAGAAATCGAGATATTGGAACGTAAACACGATTCCTTCAACCTCCACAAAAAGATCAAAGAAGCAGCAGTCATCAATAAATAAAAAAGGTCGGAACAATTAACAGATACTCAAGGAAATCCAATAGTTATATATATATATATATATATATATATATATATATATATATATTATATATATATATATATATATATATATAGTCCCAAGATTTCTAAGAGGAACATAGGGCTTCCACAAAGTGTCTCCAGCGAACTCTATTTCTGGCTAGTGCTTTGATTTCAAGCCAGGATTTTCCCATTGTTCTCCCTTCGTCCAGTACTGTCCTTCTCCAAGTTCCCTTAGGTCTGCCTACTTTCCGTCTTCCTTGGGGATTCCAATCCAGTGCTGTCCTGGCAATGTCATTTGGCGGTCTACGGAGTGTGTGGCCCAGCCATCTCCATTTTCTTCGCCTTATTTGCTTTATGACATTTTGATAAATCCAATAGTTGATATTGAAGAAACAAAAACAACATGGACGAACTATCTAACAACAACATTAGAAGACGATAGGAATGTCACCATCACACAAAATAAAAATGACGACACCGGACCACCTATTCTCGAAGTGGAAGTAGAAGCTGCTATAGACAACATTAAGGACGGAAAAGCCGCAGGACCAGACGAGTTTTACTCAAAATTTTTGAAAATTATGGATAAAGACGAAGTAAAAAGACTTACCTTGATCTTCAACAATATATATCAAAGTGGAAAAATACCCCAACAGTGGCTAAGATCAACTTTTATAACAATCCCTAATAAACTTTGATGGTACACAAGGCAAATATCGAACACAGTATTTAATTAAATCTTGCCCAAGTACTTTCGATCACAAGATCATCCTCAGGGGCATTTCGTCAATTGTGGCCTATCCAGCAATAATGGAATGTCATACATGTAAACTGGGACATAACAAATACACTAAAGACAAACAAACACTTTAAAATTTAAATTGGAGAAGCTACATTTTTATATTATAGAAGCCGGAGACAGAATCATTCTGTCTCCGGCTTCTATAATATAAAAATGTAGCTTCTCCAATTTAAATTTTAAAGTGTTTGTTTGTCTTTAGTGTATTTGTTATGTCCCAGTTTACATGTATGACATTCCATTATTGCTGGATAGGCCACAATAGACGAAATGCCACCGGGGGTTATTTGTGATCGAAAGTACTTGGGCAAGATTTAATTAAATACTGTGTTCGATATTTGCCTTGTGTACCATCAAAGTTCATTTATTCGAACATTCAACCTTATATTAATCCCTAATAAACCCAATGCCAAAAATGTGAAGATTATCGAATAATAAGCCTTATGAGCCATCTCCCGAAAATTTTTTTAAAAATTATACATGACAGAATATATAAAAAATGTGAAGAACACGTGACAAACAAACAATTCTGCTTCAGGGATGCATTGGGTACTCGAGAGGCAATTTTTGCATTACAAGTTCTCTTTCAAAGATGTAGAGACGTGAATTGTGATATGTGTGTTTTGTTGATTACCAGAAAATGTTCGATAGAATAAAACATGACGAACTCATGAAAATATGAAATTCAATTGGCCTAGACAGCAGGACAACGGAGAACAATTGAACAACATAAAATACGCTGATGATACAGTCATTTTTGCAGACAGTCTTGAAGGTCTACAGACACTTGTCTCTATGATGGTAGAAGTAAGTAGCAGGTTTGGGCTTGATTTTAACATTAAAAACCTGGTCAACCTATAACAGAAATCACCAACTTTTGTTATCTGGGTGCAAACTTAAATGATCACTGGGATCAATCGACGAAAATTAAGATAAGGATCTATAAGGCAATATCAGCTTTCGTCAAAATGAAAAAAAACTTAAAAAGGCACGATATAAAATTGAAAATAAAAGTTCGTTTACTAAAATACTACGCACTCTTCGTTCTTTTATATGGCGTGGAGTCATGGACCTTAACTGAAGCATCACTAAAGAGACTCAAAGCATTTGAGATGTGATTCTATAGACGCGTGTTGAGGATTTCCTGGATGGACAGAGTTACCAACGAAGAAGTACTACATAGAATGGGTAAAGAGCGCGAACTAGTCGCAACCATAAAACGTCACAAACTGGAATACCTGGGCCATATAATGCGCAATGAACAACGATATGATCTACTTCGGACCATACTGCAAGGTAAAGTGCATAGGAAAAGAGGTCCAGGACAAAGAAGAATATCCTGGCTGCATAACCTGCCAAAATGGATTAACTTAACCACTACCGGACTTTTGAGGGCAGCAGTCAACAAAGTCAGAATAGCCATGTTAGGGTCCAGCAGGAAAGTTAATGGAATTCTGATAAATACAATCAGATATGCAGACGATGCAGTTATTTTAAGTGAAGACATGAATGGACTACAATGCCTTTTAAATGCCATTGATACAGTGGGAAGAGAGTTTGGCCTAAACATAAACTGTTCAAAAACAAAACACATGGTGTTTAGCCGTTTAGCACATCAAGATGCACTATTATATGTTGATGGTCATATAATTCAAAGAGTGTCGAGTTTTAATTATTTTGGTTGCCATATTACTGAACAACTAGATCCAGATCAAGAGATAAAATGTAGAATCGAGATAGCCCGCACGACATTTTTAAAAATGAGGTCATTCTTCTGTAATGATAACTTGCAACTTCAACTTCGAAAGCGCATGGTTAAATGCTACATTTGGTCAGTCCTCTTATACGGTGTCGAAGCATGGACATTAAAAATATCCACCATTAATCGTCTGGAGGCCCTTTGAAATGTGGCTGCACAGACGTATACTAAAAATTCCATGGACGGCTATGCTGACAAATGTGGCAGTCCTTGAGAGAGCAAATGCTGCTCACAAGCTGCTTGATAACAACAAATGTAGAAAGATGGCCTATTTTGGACACGTAGTAAGAGGAGACCGATATAATATTCTTCAACCAATTATGATGGGTAAAATCGAAGGACGCAGAGGAATTGGTAGAAAGCAGGCCTCTTGGTTGAAGAATATCAGGGAGTGGACAGGAATAAGGAAAGCTGAGCAACTCTTTAGAGTAGCTCGAGACAGAGACAGTTTCGCCATGTTAATCGCCAACGTCAAGGGGACTTGATAGGGCACGTTAAGAAGAAGAAGGGTTCAATATGTTTATGGATATGCACCATAAGAAGAAGAAGTATCGGACTAAAATTTTAGAAGGAAAGATGTAACAAAAATATAGCAATACTCTTTTATGTCATACCTACTCCTTCGACATGGTGGCTACCTCTCGCTTCTATTCAAACAATTAAGTGTTATCTTTGTTCCACATATTGCATAATGTATACGTTAGTTGAAAACTTGACATATCGGTATATTTATATAGGAAGATAGATACAAATTTGAAAAATATTTTCAATAATTTTGATTGAAAGATTAATTATTAAATACTTTGTATTTTGTGTTTTAGAAACATCGCAAAGATGTCAGCAATTTCGACAAACAGTTTACATCAGAGAAAACGGATTTAACACCGACAGACAAGCTCTTCATGATGAATTTGGACCAAACCGAATTCACCGGTTTCTCATATCTCAATCCTGAATTTGTCATACACGTTTAATTGTTTGACATCACTCTATACAACACAAATTTATATGTAATTCGGTCATTTTTCATGTTCGTGAAAAATCCCGCGATTATAAAAAAATTGAAGCGATGAAGAATATTACTTGATTAGGATGTGGATGCTACACATATCTATATAATGACAAACAATAATTTTAAGATGTAACTTATACTTAGTTTAGAGACATTTCTGCCGTAGGAAACATTTTAAGTCCTGATTATGCTTATTTTTTAATATAATTATATTGGTGCTACAAATATATAATATACCGTTATTTTATTAACATAATAAAATTTATCTTAATGAAATATGGAAATTATGAATCGTTTAACATTGAATGAATCATTGTTTTAAACATCTTATGAGTATGTTAATTGCATTAACATCAGCCATTAATTAATATAATTAATTATTAAAAGCCTACAAAAACAAATTAAATTTTAGTCTGAAACACCGAACAGTCAAACGTTAAAACGAGACTTATATACATGAGGCTATATTGCACTTAGCCCAGTCTGGCTATGCAAAAATCATCGGTTTCACGGCAAAATTTTTCACAGATATCTGAAGCTTTTAAGATATAGGTGGGGGTTACTAGATGACGAATAAATCGAAAACTACTCGTATTTTTACCTTGCGTTTTTTTAAATAATAGTTTATGGGCACAATTTGATTTTTTGTCTATAAGTTTTTTCTATTATATTTTACGTAAACAATATTTACAGTAGTCTCTCTTTATAACGATTCCCTATTATAACGATAATTGTTCTATAACGATGAAAATAGTAAATGTTGGTTGGTTCATCATAGGGACAATATATTAATTCTTTCTCTATGCCGATATGGTTCTCTCTTTATAGCGATGACTTTTCAGCGTTCAATAGTCGATGACAAATGTGTTATTGTGTTTAAATTTCAGACTATCTAAGTCACGAGTGGAAAGGTCATTGTCCAAGCGGTTGTTTTGTTTTGCGGTTAAGAAATGCGGCCACAATTCTACTCATTCTTATCAGAGGGTTAAGTGACTCGCTTTTATTGTTCGGGCGGAGTACCTAACTATTATCACATAGGTGTTGTCATCTATTGACGACTTTTCATTTCCAGTTTGAGTTGTGTTTCAGTTTGTCCATAGTCAACATGTTTTCGAAAAAGCGTAAAGTACTCTCGGTACAGGAGGGCGGTAGCAGGAAGAAGTTGCGGAAACCTCAGCACGAAGATTTAGATCGCGCTATGCTTCAGTGATTTTAGCAGCAGCATATGAACCATATTCCACTTTCTGGGCCTATGATCTGAACAAAAGCTGATTTTTTTGCAACTGAGCTTGAAATTATGAATTTCAAGGCATCTGAAGATTGGCCGACCAAGCAGAAGGATGCGACACGAGAAAATCAGCGGAGAGACTCGCGATGAAAAGAAAAACGTAACGGATGATTCACTAGAAAACGTGTGGCCTGGCTGAAGGCACTATATGCGTCAGACGACATTTTCAATGCTGATGAGATTGGATTAATTTTTAAATGACACCAAACAGAACTTTAAAATTTAAATCGAAAAATGCATTGGTGGAAAGCACTCTAAGGAAATCATTACAGTTTTAGTGTCCGCTAACATGACAGGTTTGGTGGAACGAAAATTGTTAGTGATAGGGATGTCGAAAAACCCACGTTGCTTTAAAAACATAAAAAATCTACGGGTGACCTATAAAGCAAATAAGAGTGCGTCGATGACAAAAATTTCTGAAGAAGCAATAAGAAAGTTAGATATCGAGCTTAAAGGGAAAAAATCTTCTTCTTGTAGACAAGTTTTTTATTCATCGTATACTGTAAGGCCTTCAAGACATTGACCCTTGTTTTCTACCAGCAAACACAACGAGTGTCCTTCAGCCCTAGGACTAAAGTGTCATCACGAGCTTAAAAAGCCATTAAGGAAAAGAGTTTTAATGGAATTGGTTGAGAACAATAGCGATCTTAAACTAAACATTCTTGACGCCATCCTAATCATCAGCAAATCATGGGAAGAGGTGACGAGCAATACAATAAAACATTCCTTCGAACACGTGGGATGACTGGAAGATCAAGGATTGATTGATGATGATCACCTATGGACCAAAAGAGCTAACAGATTTTAAAGAAAAAAAGAAGTTGATGAAAATTTAGCTACAATATATGGACTTTTTTACAAGGACATCCTACATGCAGTTCATGTAGAAGAAGAAGAAAACAGTGACCCGGAAGTAGAAGCAGAGCCAGAACCAGCTCCGACTCCTCAGTAGGCATTGAATGCGGCAAAAGTACTGCATGGATTCTTCATCTACCAGGAAGACGATATGAGTGCTGTGGAAGATTCTATGCGTCTTCAGGACAAGGTCAGGTCAGTTCTGCTGAAAGGGAAAAGGAAACAGACCAAGGTAACAGACTTTTTTGGTAATGGGTAATCTTCTCCTTCTTTAAGTTTCATCTTCTATCGAAGGTTGGAAATCATGATGGCTATGCGGACTCTGTTGACTGCCGCTCTAAATAGTTCTGCACTACTGCATTCAAACCATTCCCTTAAGTTCTTAAGCCAGGATATTCTTCGTCTTCCCACATTTCGCTTTCCTCGGATTGGTTCTTATTACTCATTATTCTCGAATAATGGGTAATAGAGGCATATTATTTTGTTATTGTACAGTATATTTTGTTAGTATTATATATAGCTTATAGACAAGAAAAAAACATAGACAAAAAATCAAATTGTGACCATAAATTATTATTTAAAAAAACGCTAGGTAAAAATGAGAGTACTTTTTTATCTATTCGTCATCTAGTAACCTCCACATATGTCTAAAAAGCTACAGATATCTGCGAAAAAATTTTCGACCTTTTTTTAACCAGACTGAGTTAACTAGTCCTTTAAATTAAATATCCCTGTAAAGATCAACATAAAAAAACTATAAACATGATTGGAAAACTGCTCTTGAAGGAGACTATTGTTTTATTTTAATATTATAATATATTATATACAAGGTTTTTTCATGCAACTAGAACTTGTTAAAGAGATAAGCAGACTCATTAAACATGTGCATCAATAGAACCTTAATTGATTTAAACCTCTTTAGTAGGTATTTACTCTAACTTTGAATTTGTCTCAGATAAGAGTATAATTATTGATATGTTATTAAATAAGAATTTGATATATAAAAACGTTAATATGTAAAATAAAATTCATATTTTAATATTTATTTGTTTAAGCATAATATCAAAAACAGGACTTAAATGTTGTGACTTATGGCGCCGTTCAGTGTTCTTACTGAGTTACTGTGCCAAGCTTCTGCTATGCTAAGCCAAAAATGACATTCCAACATTTTTTTGTGTTCTTTACATAAAATATAAGCATTAAAAGATTAGGTAAAGCAATAAAAACATTCCGTAGTATTAGTTTTAGTCATTGGCTGAATTGCATCATAAATTTGCTTGTAATTCTTGCTAGGCCGGTACTTCTGTAAAACTAAAGACATTTGGTGGCATACTACTATTCGAATGGACTTATAGAATTATAAAGTTTAGATTTTATTTAACTGAACAGCAGTGTTATTTAATGATTTTTATTTAACGACAAAACTTATGGATTTCTAATATGCTACATGAATTAATTTCTTTTAGCTGTATTATTCTTAAGTACTTTGTTTCTGTGTTACTGAATTTTAACAAATAAATTAAAGTTTGGCTTAACGTATTATAAAGCTTTAGTTTTTTTTTGCAAAACTAAAGCGTATGGGTAGACCGGGGGAATCCCGACATAGGGAGCAATACCAACACAGTGGGTTTTGGTTTTCTTTTTAGTTGAACACGTCACTGTATAGTGCTGCTGCTTAGCGACTGAGATCACAGTTAGAGCTCAGTTAGTTTCTGTCATCCAAGCAAACTATTTATTTTATTCTGAATTGATATGTGTTTTATTAGTTTTTGATCTAATTATTGACTTCTCTACAAATGAAAACTCTATAACAAATAAAATTATTATAAAAACATTTAAGTAAATAGAAAGTGCAAATTATAAAGATAATTTTAGTACAGTTCATATTACATTTTAACAATCAGTTAGGTCTGTAGAATGGTGTAACCACCATCTTGTCCTACAGGGGACAATGCCGTCACACCAATGGGGGAAAATATCGACAGGTGTCGGTATTATTTGATATAGATATTATAACAGTTATTTAATACCAAAGACGTTGCTTTTGATATGTTTTAGATGGCGATATTGAGAAAAAGAACAACGGAAAGAGGCAAATGGAACGAGGAGTCACTAAAAAGGGCATTTGAATTGGTTCAAAGTGGACGATCTGTAAAAAGTGTTGCCGCTGAATTGAATCTTCCAAGAATTACGCTTCACGACTGTCTCAAATCTAATTCTACCGAAAAACCAGCCTTGGGAAGGAAATCGCACTTTTCAGCAGAACAAGAAGCTATATTAGCTGATCACATCAAACAACTATCAAACCAGTTTTATGGCATCACTTTGACAGACTTACGGAGACTTGCGTATGATCTTGCTGAAAAGTTAAAAATAAAACATAATTTTATTAAAGTTATCAAAATGGCTGGGGAGTACTGGGTTTTCGAATTTCGTAAGAGGAATGCTACTTTAGGCCTAAGACATCCCTCAGCAACAAGTCTGAACCAAGTTATTGCCTTTAACAAATCTGAAGTGGATTTATTTTGTTTTCCAATTTGGAAGCAGTTGACCAGAAATATCCTTTTAAATCCACTAGAATATTTAGTGGATGAAACCGTTATATTTACGATCCAAAAACCTGGAATGTAAAAGTTTTAGCTACTAAGAGCTAACATCAGGTGGGCTCTGTCACAAGTTGGGAAATTGGCAGAACCATTACGAGTGTCTGCACTTTGAGTGCTTCAGGTGCATACATACCACCCATGTTTATATATCCTAGGCAAAGAATGTCACCTCAGTTAGAATGCTCCCATAATGCCTGGTTAAATGAAGACATATTCACGGAGTGGCTCACACATTTTACAGACAATGTAAAACCATCAAAGGAAGATCATGGACAAACACGGCAGTCACATCTCTCTACATTACATAAACTACAGCCTTTGTATTTGTCGTTTTATGGCCCCCTGAAGAAAGCATTTTACATACAATGTGACAGGTTCTTGAGGAAAAACCAATTCCAGAAGATTTCTATGTATGACATAACATCTAAATTAAAGAAGCTTACTTGAAAGTCGCAACGATGGATAAAGGAGTTTCAGAGTTTAGTGCTTCAGAGATCTTACCATACAGCCCTAAAAAATTCACTGATATAGACTTTGTCACTGATCAAGATACTCAAACTCCAATCATCGTTGACTTTGAAACTGTTTATAAACCAGCACTTGGTGCAGCTCTTCATGAACACAATCATAATGTCACTGGAAAGCTCTAACAAGACTTGTGTTAAAACTTGAGATTCAGTGTCAGATTTTAAAACATAATCCAAAGGATACAGTACAGATATTTGGAACCAAGAAAATAACCAGTTTATATTTAAGCGGGATTCATGAGAAGCCATTACCTGATTGTTAGAAAACGAATGTTGTACCAAATATTGTCCAAAATTCTCTGAGAATCTTTCTCCTTTCAAAGATATTTTGAAATCAGTATCACCTGTTCCAAAATAATTTAATGATAATAAATCAAATCCAAAAAATTCCAGCAAACAATTAATTATGAATGGCACCCCTATGAAAACGGTTTTTAGAAGACACAAAGAAGAAAAAAAAATTAATGACTTAAAAGCCAAGCGTAGACTAGAAAAAGTTATACAGGTTAAAAAGGTCAACCTTAATCTGATGCTAAAAATGTTGAATAGTAAAAAAACAATTAAAAGGTAAAAATAGATCCCAAATAAAATTGATCAAATTAAAACTCAAAGCTACAGATAAATGAAGAAGGTGTCGAAGACAAATTAATTTTGAAGAATCGTCTTCCGAAGAAAACGATTCAAAAATAGAAAAATCAAAATTATGTGATGACAACGAATTAGATCACAGTTTTGAATTATTTTCCGAAAACACTGAAATGTGTTTGGTTTGTGGTGAGTTTGGTGTAAAAACTAAACTATGGTACAGACGTGTGTTTTGTGGACAATGTGCGCAATGAGTGCAGTGGGTATGATTGCCCTGAAAACTATCAGTGTGACTTTTGTTCTACGAACTAAGTTCCTTGTTATAGAAACAACTTTTGATTTTTAAAATATCTATTTATTTATTTGCTTATCTTGTTTTCTTTCAAGTATTCAATGTTTTCGTACATAGCGATACCATCAGTTGTTTCATTTTTTTTTTCTACTCTCTTACCAGTAAATTGTATATTACCTACTATTTGGATGCTAAGTAAATACATCATAACAGATACTGACACGTAATGACTAGCACGTAATAAAAAAATTATGCTTCAGTTTTATAAAAATGTGTAATATCACATATGCCTCGTAAGTCAGTTGGTCGAGTCACCATGGAAACGAATTAACAGACGTTATTTTGACAGATTAAAAATTATTAATTTGTCAGTGTAAATATAGTGGTAATTTAATTTTTATTTTTATAAACGAAAATAATCGTAGAAAAAGTATAGTACACAACTTGAGTTGTAAGCTTATTACATGCTTGTAAAATTACTGCGCTCGCCGCTACGCGGCTCGCGCGCAACTTTTTTACTCGCATGTAATAAGCTTCTTACAACTCTCGTTATGTAATATACTATATTATTACTACTGTTAGTATTACTCCAAACGTCTGTCCGACAGAAAATACCGACACTTTGCTAAAGATAGGGACATATTGTTTTTAATTACGTAAATGACATTGTTTTACCAATATTAAATATCCAATGAATGCGGAAAATTCCAGTTATATTATAGGTATTTTCATCAGAAACCTAAGTAATATAGAATAAATCTGAAAATTCAAATTCTCTTAAGATGTCGGGATTTCCCCGGTCTATCCTGGGTCTACCTAACCTAACCTAACCTAACTTAGTCTTCTTTGAAGGGTAACGAAATTATTTAACAGTTTTAATTAGATATATTTTTTTCTCTAAAGAGATACTTGTTTTAGCATGAATTTTAATGTGTTTGTTTTTTTTTGGTCGTCTAAATTGTTATCACTTTCAAATTGGAGGACTTGATTTTGGCAGTAGCCACTGATTTGAAATGACTATGTAAGATAACAGCTTAAGATGACAGAAAAACAATTAACGAAGAATACGATAAGATTATAACATCAACAAATTTTATTCCATTCCAATAGTAGTACGCTACTTTAAATTGTTTTGTTAATAACTTTGTTATAACAAAGCCGCTGCTAAATATTACTTATTCTAACCAAATATTGCTGACTCTGCTTAAAGCTTGTTAGGTTCTTCAAACCACTCCACTGGTAATAAAATAAAATTCAAGCAAAAATGAAGTATTGGCCTAATATTGATACAGATATTATATTAAGCCTCTCTATTTTGAATATTATCGCACTTAATATTGTACGATGATGTAGATGTTCACATTAAAGTTATATATTTCTTACAGTTCTTCCATAAGTGTAAAAGTTGCGAAATGTGTATAGTTGTATTTCGAAAAAATAAAAACATTTTGTAAAAACTCTTGAAAAAAGGAAATTGCAATTAACATTACCTCTTTAATATTGTTAATGATATATTTCTTAACCATCAGTATCGTGTTCCTCCATATCATCTAGCTTATTTGTTTAACTATGTATTGCATATTGTCGTTAATTTTCTGTCTAATAGTAAAATAAAGTTAGTAGTAGGTATCGGCATAGCTCGCAACAAGAAAAAAAATATAATAAAGGCAACCATATATTATAATATATATATATGTATATATATATATATATATATATATATATATATATATATATATATATATATATATATATATACAGATTGAACGAATTTAAAACGGATCATACAATTTAATATATGTCTGTTTCAACTGCATTTGAAATAGTGGACCAATATGAAACTTGGACAAGAATAAATCCATACCCGGTGATAGACATTGTATGAGATATCGTTCAACTATCTGTTCCTTTTAGGACGCACCATAGCCTAGAGCTCCAGTCAAAGTCAGTGTTGCCAATCGCCGTGTAATAATTCGATTTGCTGATCTTTTTGAGAGTTATATCTTCTTCGTATCTTTAAATAAATTGAATATTTGCCTATATTTTTCATTGTATTTACTACAACAGATTAATAACAAAAATAAACCTAATGGTTTGTAGTTATTTCCTTTCTTTCCTGTAAATATTTTATGGTTATTTGAGAAACATCTAGAGGAATGAAATTGGCAACACCGCTCAAGGTTCAGTAAGTCTACTCTCGCATTTTCACGGTTCCAATTTTGAATCCACTCCTAGGTTCGTGCGCAATAGATTTGGCGAAAAATGCCGCTGTTTCAAGATTTAAAATATTTCATCAGTTTCAAAGAATATTTCAAATTTATAATAAAATAATTATTATGGAAGTTCTTCAAAAAGAGAAAATATATTTGGTTATGTTGAGTGCTCTAAACTAATCATTCTACCAAAGTTCATTAAGTCAAAGTGAAATAGATTTGTACTAAGTAGTACTTGTAGAACTGCAGTACAGATAAGCTTGATATCATAAAGAATTTCTACGTCCTTGGAAATCAATATATCGCTGTTTCAGAAGTATAAACACATAATTGTAAAATTTTAAAAAATGACTTTATTATGTTGGATGGCTCAAAACTGTAAATATTTTTAAATCATCATAACTGTACTTACGGAATCACCGGTCATGGCAAAATTCATAAGTACAATTACGACGATTTACAAATATGTTGAAAATGCAGTTTTGATCCCTCCAACACAATATTTTTCACAAAGTCATTTTTCAAAATTTTACGGTTATGTCATTATACTTCCGGAACAGCTATATATGCTATCACTTTACCATCGTTGTCTGAAAGTGGAATCTGATTTTGTCTTATGATTCGACTGTTACTGTTCCAGTCTGTGAGTAGGTATCTTAGCTGGGTGTAACATATATTCTACTATTTTATATTCTGCACGAATTTGAGTACTACCTTATTTGCAGAAACTATAGAACAGGCCTCCTAAAATCCAGCTTTGGATTGATTTTTCTTGCTTTAGTATTAAAAACAAAACTTAAATTTTAATCTTAAAAAGCTGAAGATATGTAAAAACATAACTTTCTTGAACCATTTAAAACAGACTATTAAATAGCTGAGAAGATTTATATCGTATGTTAGGATTCGATCAATTCATTTTGTACTCAGCCTGAGGCCTTCTTTAAGTCAATAAATCAAAATTTGTCTTAAAGGAAATCTATTTTTATATATCATATTGTATATGGACGTTTTCAGATTGTAAGTACAATTTTTGACGTTTCTGGTTTGTTTACTTTTGTAGCTGTCAGTTTGTTGACTATTTTGCTATTTTTTGTCCAGTTTTTACATTTTGCAATTATTTATATAGCAAAACAGTTATTTTCACAACTAACTTTATATTGCAGTTGAAAATTTTATGGTAAATGTATTTTATTTTGCCCTTAATTTTCCTTAAAGTTAACCTTATTCTCACAGATTGTCATAACCAGTTTCTGTCACTTGCTGTTGCGTTGAGTAAATTTCCGACTAATTTCGTATGCTTTAAATCATGACGCACGGGTAAAGATAAATTGACTCAACTGAAATACGTCGTTATTGAATTCGTTATTGATCGAATTTCATGGCATGTAATTTCTCTCATCAAACGTGACAGAAATAAATAAATAATGAACATTTTCCTCCGGTTGGCAACATTGCTGGAATGTACATGTGTAGCTTTCAATTTTTATACGTGATGGGCGGGGCAACCTTTTTGGGTGGAGTTTTGACTTGTTTTTGAACGAGTTCAGAATCCAGCAGCCCGCTGAAGTATTAGATTTTTATAATATAATTATTTGACAACCTATTGTTGGCCAACCACCTAGAGCAAAGTTGAGCCGATATACATGTATTTCGTATGTTCCCAATTTATATCGTTCAATCTGTATATAAATTTCTGTGAAATACGTATATGCACATAATGCACTGTGTGTCAAACAAATGGAATAAATTAGCTAATAACTAAATGAGGGAGTATTCGAAAAAATGGTCGAACACGTCGATTAGTATTTATAGTTGCGCATTTTTTTCCATAAAAACTTTTTATACGGGGTGTATCAGATAACAGTGGCCAATACCAACCTGCTTATTTTAAATAGAACACCCTGTATAATAAATAATTTTTATATTTCACAGATCATTTTAAAAATTTTTGTCAAGTTTGTCAAAGCTATACATAAACAATGACAAACACAGATACTTACTTACTTACTCCGTGGCGTTACAACCCTTCGTGGGTTTTAGCCGACTCGACAACATGCCTCCACTGTTTTCTGTCTTGAGCAACCTCCATTTAATTTTCCACGCCCATAGTGCTTAGGTCTCCTGCTATATTATCTCGCCACCGAAGACGAGGGCGTCCGCGTGGTCTCCTTCCAGTTGGGACTTCCTCCCACACCAGTCTTACTGTTCGTTCGTCAGAATGTCTTCTGAGGTGTCCTGCCCATTGGAGTCTTCTGGACTTTATTTCTTTTATAATGTTGGCGTCTGGGTAAAGTTCTTCAAGCTCTTTATTAGTTCTTATCCTATATTGTCCTGATGCTTCATCAAGCACCGGAC